GTGTCTTGCACTTTTAATCCCAACTCTAACAAAAAAAAAAAGAAAAATAAACACACCAAAAAAATCCCCAAAAAAGAAACCAAAAAAACAAAAACAAAACAAAACAAAGCAATACTAAAAAACAAAAAACCAAACTAAACAAAAAAAAAAACCAAAAAACCAAAACAAAAAAACCCCAAAAAATCACAAAAATCCCCCAAAAACCAAAAAAACCCAAAAAAACCAAAACAAAAATCCCCACAAAACCAAACAACCCCCCCAAAAACAAAACAAAACAAAACAAAAAAAACCCCAAAACAAAACAAAACAACCCCCAAAAAACTAAAACTAAAAAAAAAAAAAAAAAAAAAATCCCCAATACAAGCTCAGCAGCCTGTGTCCCCAGGGCTGGGATGCTCAGGTACCTCCTCCGAGGGCCGGTGCCACAGGAAAGGGTTCAGCTCGTTGTCCCCAGCCACGTCTCTCTTGTAATCCGTGTCACAAATCCTGTCCCGCACCGCCCTGACCAGGCGGCTGTTCTGGTCCCCGTACTCTCCAGATGCCACCTCCATAACTGCAAAACCAGGTTTAAAATCACTGCTTTGACTTAAACTGCTCTGCCCTGCTGCCCAAGCCTCGATATTCAATCCATTTGATGCTGCAGCACTGATAAAATCAGATTTTTTTTTTCATTGCAGGCTTTAAAATGCTACGTGCAAATTCATCTTTCTAAATTTAAATGTATCTTTCCATAAATCTTCAGGGATCTCTTTATCTTAGAAGTTAAGTGAACCAGTTCAGAGGAAAGGCAGTGAATACAAGTAAGAAAAAATGACAAAATCAATTTTTGTGGCACTTCCCAGTTACTTTTTTTTAATTAAGAAACAACACTGAAGAAACCCTCAATGCTCTAACCTACACACAGTGACACTGCTCAAGATAAAAAGAAAACAAGCAGAACACTGGAGCCACTTAAAAAAACCACTAATATTAGTTACTATGAAACATTAAAGAATAAGTTTATCTTTCATTTCCTGAACGTGGACTTCTAACAGAGAGAAATATTCACTAAATTGCACCACTAGATGGCATTCAAATTACTCAGGAAAAAAAATCTGATTAGTTTTATTTTGGATTTCGGTTCATACATGAACAAAGCACATAAGAATATTTGTACAAAAGTATAAACCACGGTTCCCTTCACCCTGAAGGCGATGATAAAATAGAAAATAAATGAAATAAACTATTCAAGCTGTCCTTACCAAAATCTGCTGGGTTGTGGTAGGTTGGACAATTCAACCCCAGATCTCTCAAGTAAGGGACAAGGTTTGTTACCTTCCCACGGTAAATGCACTGACCTTGACTTAGAACATAGAGCTGGAAAACAAGAAGAAAAGGGAAAAAAAAAAAAGAAAATATAAGAAAAAAGTGAAATGGTATCAAAATATTTGAACCCATTGCCTAATAAAATCTCCTTGTCCCTGTGGGAAGAACACCTTGGGAAGATCTGTCAACACTTGAAATTAACTTTGCCTGGAATAACAACTAATGGAAAATTCAGTGCCTGGAGTTTGAATTCTGCACACATTGCCTGCAGGACTTCAAACACATTAACACAGAAACACACAAATTCCAGCCTTTGGCACATGCTGAAAATAGGCAAGGAGCGGCAGAGCCAAGCCATCTAATTTCCACACATGATGGATATTTTGGGCTGGCGAATGCAGGAATGGAAGGAGAGCTGGGACAGCACAGCAACAGCAAACAGCTCAATCACTCTCACTTTTAGCCACGATATGGACTTTAAATAAACCTCCCTGCCAGACTGGCAATCTGCAAGGGTTTGTTCACCTGTGGTGGTGGAGGTTTTCTCTCAGCTCTCACAGGACTAATCTAAATCCTCTAACAAGACTAAAATACACTTTTATCTAATCTAAACACACATGGTCCACATGCCATTGTTAGCTTGGAGAAAAGTTCTCCAACTGACTTAATTTCAATCAATTTTCAATACTAAATTTGATTATTGTTGTTTCATATGCATTAACTCTGCTTGATCTACACCTGTGTATCTAGGATGAGAATATATGCTTGCAATATTGCAGACACTGACACTGCAGCTCTCCTGCTTTTATATTGCTCTAATTCACTTCAGTGAGAGCCCTGTGCACAGGAGCAGTGCTGGGTGAAGGCATGGTAATCACCAGTGCAATAATCATGATTTCACAAGCCTAACAGCAAGATTCTTCACAAACATTACACGTAAATAAAGGAAGCAGGCAGAGAAGAAGGAAAAAAACATAATCAAAAAGTGTGTTTTGCTGTTATTTATTTCATTTCTTTATATGATTTGTAGCCATCAACTAGATGGTTCAATCATTTTCTGATAAAAGAGTGTAGCTTGAAAACATAACCACCCTGAACTACACATGGAGAGAAAGTTTGAGAACAATACCTGGTCAAAGAGCTCAAACAGTTTTGCACTGGGCTGGTGAATTGTGCAGATGATGGACCTGCCACCCTGGGCCAAAGCCTTCATCAGAGAGACCACCTGGAAACATGATGCACTATCCAAGCCACTGGGAAAAAAACAAACAAGTTTGTTTGTTATCCACAGGCACCACTCAAAACTCGCACATGCATTTGCCACTTGGTCTCCCATTATTATCCTTTTACAAATTTCCTCTGTAGCAGTTTCATTTTATCATATGCCAACCTTATGCTTGTATTTCTCCATCAGGCTTTTAATTAAGTTGGAAGCATGCCTGAGATTGAAGAAGAGTATTCTGAAAACTGCCTTAAGGGACTCCTACATTTTAGGGCTGCAGATTTAAATGCTCCCTACTTTAATGAATAGATACATATTCATAGCTTTCCCAGACTGATCACATTCATTACCAAAAGTCACATCTTAAAATGTTTATATTCAAGCTGTCTTTGCTTGAAAAATAATATCCATTCCACAATATATTCCTCTCTCCTTCCCTTCCTCCTCCAGTTTGTGTCTGCTTTAAATATTATCTACAGCCCCACAGTCCAGCAGTTGCAGCAGTGACCCAAGGCACCAAATTATTTCTTGGCCTTACTCAGTGCTTGCAGGCAACACAAAATGAGCCTTTTCCAAGGATTTAGAGGTGAATAACTTTTCTATAGCTCTGTTCTACTATGCAAAACCGTATTTGTCTATCTTTAATTTTTGGCTTTGAAGTATACCTGGTTGGTTCATCAAAGAACATGACAGGAGGGTTGTTCACCAGCTCCAAAGCAATGGCAAGACGCTTCCTCTGGCCTCCAGAGAGACTCCCAGTCCTCGTGTTGGCACACGTCAGCAAACCGAGGGCTGTCAGGATTTCCTTCACCTGGAGGGAACAGAACATTCCACGCTGTCAGAACATAAAGAACCTCCAGCCTCTTCACTGATTTCCACGGAGGTTGTGAACCAGCTCACGACTTCGTTTCATCACCCACTTAAAGCCTTTTTCCATCTAATGTAGCATTTATTAGACTCAGAGTTAACAGTCTGCCATTTACTGATTTGATCCAAACTCTGCTTGTTTGTCCTACATGACCTCACTCAGTAAAGAGGTGAAAAAGGAGTGGAAATCAGTTCTTCTGTAGCTGTGTATTTATGGATATGGCACTGACATCAAAAGAGCTTTGCAGCATGTGAGGGGCTATTACAGAGTGAAACCAAAAGCTTCTTTCAATAGAACTCTGGGGCTGTCTCTACAAGGGACTGTCTAACAAAAACCAGTGGTTTCTGTAGAGCAGTGACCTGCTTTATCTCATCAGTTCTCCACAGTCTCCTCTTTCAAGTGCAGCCATTGATTTCAAGCGTTTCCATTCCACTCAGAGTCAATTCAGCTGCCACAGGTACTCTCAGATGTTTGGGATTTCCTCAAGGCTCAGCCTCAGGAAGGGCACAGCTCGTCCCAGGGTTTTTGGAGCAAAAGGAGAACAATCCCAGGCATTATGATTTTTTCTGTTTCAGTGACTGTAGGTCTTGTGTGGTGGCCCTAGAGAAGGGAAATAGCTCTTTGGCCTCAGTAAAAGCATGGACACAAAAATGAGTGAATCCATGAGCTATGTTGCTCATGTAATTAAGAAACTTCACCACGTCAAAGGTAGAAAGAGAAGGCCAGATATTTAATGCTTGACTGAAGTTTAGGAAATAGAGCCCACCATTTTTCAAAGTATCAACTGCTTGGATGGAGAGAGTTTTCCAGAAGGAATGCCTGACTTGGTGAAAATTGGTGAGACCAACCAGGGCCTGACCCTTTGCTCGTCCTGATTTTTGATTTCCAGGAGTACCCTCTCCCACTAAGAGGGAGTAAAAAATATCACAAAACCCACTAAGCCTCGTTTCTCAGAGAAAAAAGCCCAACTACCTCATTCCTTTTATCTCTAGGAAGGGTAAACAGGACTCAGCACAAGCAAGGACAACCAGAAACATAAACTGTGGTTCACTGAAGGGTTTTCACTTGTCCCTGCTTTAAACAAGAATCTGCAATCCTGCTAGCACAAGTGTATAAATTCATAACATTTATCTGTGATAAACATTTGCACTCCAATTTACAACAATAAAATTAATTATCTTCTCCTGCATGGGCCAGTAACACTAACCAGAAAATTGTTCTAAGACATTGAATAAACACAGCACAATTTTCAACTCAAAGAGCTGCTTGTAATTACAGTGACAGTGTGAACAAGTGAATTAACTTGCTTGGCCTAACTTCACTAAAGTGTAAATGAACTAAAGCTTCCAAAGTACAACCAAGTTAACAGCTGTTTCTATATAAATTTATTTTCCAATGAAAAAAACAACCAATGTTTACAAAACATAGGCTGTAAGTTTCCCTTTCTGATTTTCAAGGATTCTTTAGAGTCTGAAGAAATGCCAATTGCTCCAATTTGGATAATGAACACAGACAAAGGACAGTCATGAAAACAACTGCTCTGTGTAGGAAGTTGCCACAGTTTTCATATTTCAGTTTTTATATTTCAAAAGTTGTACTTTTACCCATGGATAGGTTAGAGGAGCACAGTTCCTAGTGCAGGTCCAGCTGGATTTATCTCACCCCACATGAGATGCCTGAGCCCACAGACATGCACATAAGAGAATCCAAGGTGCTAAGGTGCAATAACAGGAATCCTGCAAAACCTGTGGATTTGTTTCAGTAAATCTTTTACAATTTTCCAGTCTGGTACTGAAAGTAGCTTTCACAGAGACTGCAGTGAGCATTCCCTCTACTGACACATGTCAGCCTAGAGATTATGATTTATTCTGTCATTACAAGTCCAAGGCAGTTCAAAATTAGATAAAAAAATGTCTGCTTTACAGAGCTCACTTCTTGGCATCCCTCAAATTCTAGTTTGATGGGCAGTGTACATACCATTTCTCTCCTCCCTTCATCTTTCTCTTGAAGTTTCAAGTGAGCAGATACCTGGAATGCAAATAATGGAATTAGATTTTGAACTGGTCAGGCACAACACTCCAAGGTACCACTTAAACAACTTCTTTCAACCCAGTCAGAAAATCTGAACTACAATGTTCCAGTCACAAGCATCACTTGCATTTATTTTTCTGTGCAGTAAATAACTGAGTCTGATTTGACTTAGGCAAAGCACCTGGAAAAAGTGCATTAGAAAAAATTCATTAGAAAAAATGCATTAGAAAAAAAAAGGCGATTCTGCAAGTCAAAGAGCTTTAGAGGAAGATGGGAGAGTGACATACTTTGCACATCCAAAAACTTCCCAGGCAATGCTAGAAACACATTTTATTTGTGCTTCATTCACACTGTAAGGGTAACTGAACTCTGCTATTCTCCAGGATGCAAACAAGTGAGCACAGAAATAAATAATCTTGTGAAAGATGTCATCTGCTATCCTGAAAGGCAGCTCCACAAAACACCATGATTAACCTTTATTAAAAGCAATTAATCTGTTAAGTAATTATTTTTTGTCAGAGCCTTGATTGATTAATTTTAGACAGCAACTATAATCTGGGCCCAATTCTGTGAAAGTGGTCCCGTGGGATTCTGATGAAAACACTCAAGTAAACAAAAGAGAAGAAAAACTTTTCCACAGAAAAGAGTCTTTGCAGAAAATTAGCCACATAAAAACTGGAGTGATTTCTTCTGGCCTTAAAATTTGTGAATTGAGCTGGCACAGTGTGAGCAACCTAAGCTTACTTTGATAATTTCTGAGAAAAACTGGCTCATTTCTCAAGCTGAGCTACAGACACTTGCAGACTAACTGGTCAAGTGGAAATTCATAAACTTCCCGATGCAATGTAAAACAGTGAGAAGAAATTACCTTGCCTGTACATCTTGGATTTATTCTGTCCCTGGTTGGTTTTTTTTCCCATGGAGAAATGAGAGATTTTATAAAACGCCTTTATTTTTAAAAAGGCACAAAAGAGTAGAAGTGGCAGAGAGATCACACTGAAGCGTAAATAACAATTTTCAGTCAGAACATGAAAGATGGGGAGAAAGAGAGAGAGATGAGGTTACTCATCCACCACCCAAGCAAACAGATGGTCCCTACAAAGGCTCATTTGTGAAGAATTTCAGCTTATATTCTCTAGGAGATCTAAGGAGCAGACACTTAGATCTTCTTCCTAATCGTAATGCTGGGCACAAACTGGAAATTATAAAGCCAAAGAATCCCTAGAAGGATGAGCCTGAAATGGAAAACTGAAGGCACCAACAAATTCCAAGAACTTTCATCGATCAGACAGGGATTAACATCCTGCGGCACCGCCAGGAGTAAGGGCACAACACAAACCATCTTCCCCCTTTTCTCCTGCTCAGATAAATCAGAGCAAGAAGCAGAGCTCACCATCATAGCTTCCTGCACAGTGAGGTGGGGAAGGAGCATGTCATCCTGCATGATGTAGCAGGAGACTTTGCGGAAGGAGCGCAGGTCGCGGGGCTGCCCGTTGATGAGGATTTCTCCTTTCATTCCCGTCTCCCTGAAACCAAACAAAGCAACCAGAGGTGAAATCCTGCCTTCACTTGTGCTGCCTCATGACTGAGCACCTGGAACTCTCAGGTATTATTATTATTATTATTGCCACTAGGGAATTAATTTGATAGACTGGATAGAAATTAGATTATTTCTTGATTACGCTTTCTTTCATATAAAGCTTCATGCCATGTTGTTGAAAATTTTACTCAAAATGTGTGCTGTCGTATATAAATATCTGAAGAAATATCAAGAAGTTAAAGTTGGGTTTTTTTAGGTTTCTCTATCCTGTTCTTTATACCCCAAATGACAAGACAGAGACAGCTTGTAAGGCCACACAAGAGGGAATTTAGAAAGATGAAGCCCAGTCACTGCATTTTGGTGTAGAAGACATCAACATTATGAAGTGGTGACTAAAAAGTGTAGATTTTTCAAGTGTTTATGTGATTTTAAAAACATCACAAACATAAGACACTGAGTCAGATTTGTTACACGGCCAAAAAAGGAGATTTTCTTTATATGTGTGTTTTTTGGATTTTTAAATTGCTTCTTATTTTTGGATCAGATCTGTTAAGAGATAAATCCCAAGTGACCAAAACAGGACACAGAGGAAAAAAAGATAAGCAATAAGAATCTAATTCAAAAATCTTTGAAGTGCTTGTTTTTGACAAACTCTAGGCTAAAATTTCTTCTGCTGTTGTCTCCAAGGAGCCCTCAGGCTCAGTGATCTTAGCTTAACTTGGGATTTTCATTGGTACTGACCTGTATCCTGCCAGAATATTCATAAGTGTTGACTTCCCAGCTCCTGAAGGTCCCATAATTGCAACGAGTTCTCCACTGCTGAACTTCCCTGAAATTCCTTTCAAAAGGGTCTTATAACCTGGAAGAAGTAAAAAGAGTTCACTGAACCCTTAATCAGATCTGGGGAGCAATGAAAGTTCATTTCCACTGAATATTGATGACAAACAGGCATTAACAGCCACATCCTGAGAGGCTGATGCCAATATCAGCATGCTGCAATAACTATCAAGAATAACTATTAAAATCCAAATTGTGAGTGGGAGCAGCAGCTTCCTGCCGTGACACAAATGGGATTACAGGGTCTCACACTCTTGGCTCACTGCAGGATGATTTTTAAAGAGGGTTATGAAGCCTTGCTGCCATTCTCTGAGTGTCCTCTCAGAGTTATTTTACCAGATGCTGTTCAAATATCCAGTACTCCACAGCTAACAGTCTTGGAGCAGGCTGCTCTCCAGTCACTGCAGTTTCAGTGCCAAAATTCTGCCCTCTCACCAAAACATCGACTTCATAAAGAGAGCAACAGCTGGGATCTCTAAGACCTTTGCCTTTTTTCCATAAAAGAAGTGGGATTTCTTATTTTGTATGAAAAGAAACTCAGCAAAAGACGATACACAAACTTCATTCTCTTGCCACAAGAACTCTCTTACCAGAGGAACTCTAAAGGCTTTTCTAGACAGGGAGACTGACCACAATGACTGTAAAAACAATTTCTAGGGAAACACTTATTCCAGATTAAGAACATGCAAGGTTTTCTTCTCATTTAGATTAATCCATTTCAAAACTTCATGCCACTATAATTACATCCTCAGGCAAGGATGTTCTAGAGTGACAACACCACCTCTTTCAAGCATTTCAACTTATTTCTGAGTTAATTATCTTTGCCAGTAAATCTTTATTAAAAGCCTTAACTCCATGTTATTCTAAATGCAAGCAAACCATGCTCCAATGAGAATTCCAGATTTGGACCAGCTGCATCCACCTTGCCCTGCAGGATTTCTGTGTAAAGGCATAAAAACTGTGTAAGGAAGGTGGTGAGAGCCCTGACCAGCATTTAAATTTTTCAGGATCTCTTTCCCTTTTGTTGTTTTTTGGTTTTGTTTTTGTTTTATTCTGCTTGCTTGATTTAATTACCAATGCTTCTAGCTAAAGCTTTTAATAATTGAAAAATGCTAAGTAAGGTGTCAAAACCCAATCTCATATATTGACAATGTTAAAACCAAAACAGAAAGGTGGAAAATCCATTTACATGCAGAGTCAGGATTTGGCAATCCATTTTACCACACTGGTGGATGCACAGGCAGAATGTAAATTCCCCATGTAAACTATCCCAGGCCTTTGATCATCAGCACAGGCTGTAGCTGGAACATGGAAATGCTGTTAAAAAAATCATATTGTTTGCAAGCTCCTAGAAAAAAAGAATTGTGAATTTTCTTCTGATTTCTCTTTCTTCCTGACTTCATTATTTGTTTTCATCTCCACTTATTCTCTTAAAATTTTCTTCTTGTCACCATTTTGGAGTCACACTCCTCCTGTGCCACAAGAGAGCAAACTTTGCACCAAAAACATTGTCATGCTGCTGTGGGGGTCTCCCAAATCCACAGCAAATCCTCTTCCCTGAGCACATCCCAGCCCAGGGGCAATGCAAAACCTCTCTAGAAATATCTGATCACAGTGTTTTCATGGTAGATGTCCTAGAAAATGTTACTGACTAAATGGATCAAAATAACCATTTTCTTGAGTGCCTTTTTTTTTTTTTTTTTTTAAACAGGCCAGTGGTTTTTCACTATAAATCTTTTTTTTTTTTTTTTTTTAAACAGGCCAGTGGTTTTTCACTATAAATCTTGCCCTGGACCTAAAGGAAACAACTTTTTTGGAAGCCACGAGGCAGCCTGGGTATGAAAATAGAGTATCCACACTGACTGTTTATGGCAAAAGTGCTGAAAAGGAAAGCAAGGACAATCTATCAAAAGGAGCAGAGTCTTTGAAGAGAGAAGTCCACAAGGTTAACCAGCTTGTCCTTCACACCAATGCCACCACCCACAGCAGCATCTGAAGGGAAAGTGCAAGGAACAATCAGGCCTTTCAGACATGGCAATATTTAATAAACAGGATCTGTAGGGACAAAGTCCTTCATTCTACCTCCTCAGTGTAATGAGAACCAGCTCCCTCCCAGTCCTGTTAAACCTGTAAGGCACTCAAATATTAGAATGCACCACCAATTATTTGCATTATGCACCAGGCAGTAAATATTGCACGAACTAGTGAGGGAGGATAAAAAATGCCATCAAAGAGGGACATGCAACCTAAAACACAGACTCAGCAGCTGCAAACGTGTGGTAACATAGATACCATTAGCTAAACCTGAAACCTTCCCTCTCCCTTCGTATGACTGTGAGATTTAACATCACACACATTAAAGTCACTTTTCCAGATTTTCACAAATGATGATTGGTTTGCCTTTACCTGCAGTATCTTCCCCCTCATGACCTGCACGTGTTTCTGTCCTCTGATGGAGTTTTCCATTTTAAGTATCCTGCACACAACATTAAATCAGAGCAGGACTCATCACAGAGACACAGAATCAGCTTGAAAAAGACCTCCAAGATCATCAAGTCCCAGCTTTGACTGATCACCACCCTGTCAACCAGCACAGAGCACTGAGTGCCACATCCAGTCATTCCTTGGACACCTCCAGGGATGGAGGCTCCAAACCTCTCTGGGTAGCCCATTCCAATGCTTCACCACCCTTTCCATGCAGAAATTCTTCCTGAAATTCTCAGCAAGTCATTTGCAATACAGTAGAGAAATATGCTTTCAGAAGAAATAAAAGAAAAGCCCCAAAACTATGAATATTAGATTAGGATCCTAATCACTGGCATTTTAAGTTGCTACAAACTCAAACTCGTCTCTTCCTTTGACTGGAAGCACATAATAAGCTTTTCCATTACAAAGGTTAATTTAGCAAACCCACAAAAAGATTTGACACTGTGGCAGTAGTGTGGTGCCCCAGTATAATCCTTTATGAGGAATTAAAGTCCCCTAAGTAACCACAGTCTTCCCTTTCAGAATATTGAGGCTAATCTTCAACTGAATCTGTTGACCTAAAACTTCTATACAGGGCCACATGTCTTTCACGAGAAACAGATTATGCATTTGGAGGGGATTGTATTCTCACAGTACAGGGCCTGTTTATATGTCAGGAATTTCTCACTACCTTCAACCCCAGCCCACCTCGTTTTCCTCAGTCCCTGCAGCAGGTGATGCCTGGAGAGGCTACCTAGAACAGAGGCTGGAGAGTGTTAATAATAAAGCAGGAATTTATTAAAAAGCCTTCAAAGGATTCACCTTGGGCAGTACAAGAGCCTGGCCAGGGCTACACCCAAGATGGACCCAGAGTCAGGAGTTTTCACACTTTTATAAGTTTTGGTCCATTTCCATATTGGGGTTCATTGTCCAGTTCCAGCTCCAGGTTCTGCAGTCCCATCCTCCCAGATTCTCTCCTCAGTTCTCTGCTGTTTGCACTTTTTGGGGCTGAAGCTGCAGCGTGTCCTTGGTTCTGGGGCTGGAAAAGGATTGTTCTGTGTGACTGAGCTGGGAGGAGAACTTGGAACACTTTATATGAAGTTCAGAGTTACACACCAATGCAGTAGAGAATCGGGAAAATATAAAAGCTAAAACTTTAGGCATCACAAGGAGTTTGGGTATGGCAATGTTTAATGGAAGGCTCAAAGCCAGCTCAGGCCAGGGTGGATGCACACCATGGGCCATTCAGTTCCAGCACCACAGCAGCTTTGACTCAACTTACATCAAGAACAAGTATAGCATTGTTACTTTCTAATTTTTCAATTCTCCTAAAACTGTTTCAATTTCCAATGGAAATCAGTGTGGATCTTTCAGTTTTCCTATGTCCCCTTCTGAAGTTACTGTGACACAACCTTTAAACATATATATGTATAAAACTTATATATTTATGGTACCCGTGGGAATTTTACTATCAGTTTTCAAGAACTACTTAAAATACGGATTTGACATTAACACGCCATCACGAACCAGAACAGCCCCTAGGCAAATTTCTCAGCCCAACCCCCTAAAAATAAAACACAGCAGAAACAAATCAGAACTGAAACAGAAAATTCTAGTGATACAAAACTCTTTAGTCTGAATTTCACACGTCACATTACATTCCGGAGTTCTAATGCTTCTCCTGAGAAGCAGAATGTTTTGTTTTCCCATTTTAGGATTTCCCACGAAATCAAATGTGGGGCACTGTGATATTTGACCAAATTCACAGCTGAACCCCCTGCCTGGCCTGGCCAGACCCCCATTCCAGATGTGGAATTCCCTCCCTGCCTGGGAGGGCACAGATCCCACAAAATCCCGTTTTTCAATGAATGGACAGAGGTGTCCTCGTGTCTCTGATGAAGATGCTCTCCTTGCTCAAGCCAACAAAATTTTTACTACTGGAATCAGCAAGGGAGAAACATGTTGATGATTTTATCTGTTTCCTTGTGGATTTTACAGAGATTTATAGGGAGATCTGGTTTTACCATTCCCACAGAAATGATGATTAATCTGGAAAGAATCAAGCCATCCCCTCCTCATCCTCGGGGTGGGAGCAATGCTTCAGGATGTGTCTGAATCAGCACCAATTAAAACATAACCAAAACCCACTCCAACCTCCCAGTGAATTTCCTCAGGTAAACACCACCTCTAGGTTTTTGACTGAAATGCTTCATTCATTTGCATTTCATCGTCAGTGATCCTCATTTGTTACTCAGAGAAATGTCACACAGACTCGTGGAAGTTTCTAGGTGTTGTAACCTATTTCTGCCTCCATCAGGAGCCACCCAGACCCTGTCTCAGGTCCCAGGTGAGCACGGCAGGCTTTCCCTGCTCGCTGCAATTAGAGCAGAATTTGCCCTTCCCAATGTATTTGAATTTCTTCTCTTCCATCACAAGCTCCTCTGGAGGCAAGAAATCACTGCTGCTGCCCTGCAAGTGCCACTGGCCTGAAACTGCTCAAAGGTTTCTCAGAGCATTTACTGAAGTAAAAGGTAACACAGGAAATTTCAACTCAAG